CCAACTCCCATTCTCCATGTGGTCTTGCTGCTTCTGCTAGATTGGTCTTCTTTACCACCTGGCGTCTGTAATGCTAGATTCTTGGGACCCCAGTAGACCTCCAGGAGCCGAATCCAATGCAATCATACAAGAGTCTTTATTGCAAGCTCGAGCCTGGACTCACAACTGTTTCCGATGCAGCTGTCCCAAGGAGTGAGTCCTGACCCTTAGTTCAGTGAGGATTTATAGGTTTTGGGGGGATACTCTGTGCGTCACAACATCACACAGCAAATCATTTCATACCATGGGGAAATCAAACAACAACTCTTAACATTGATTAGCACATTCACTGGCCAGAACAAGTTGGGTAGGGGTGATTGGTTAGTACAAGAGGAGGATTCGTTTGAACTGATTGGTTTAATCTGTGAGGGGTGTACGTGCTAAACTACATGGTTTCTTAACATGTTTTCAACCACCAAAACTACTGGGGAGTCATCTGGCATCCCAGGTATTTTCTCTGTCTCATGCTGATTGGTGGTTGCTAGGGGGTTGCAATGGGTCCTCACCTAGCCTAACTGAATCAGGGACACCTGGTGCTGTAGATCTCTCCTGTTATTTGCAGACAAACAACTCAGCAGGGTGGCTGTGTGCCTAGGAGCGCTCTGTGGGTTTTTCCAAGGAAAAGGGCCACGCCCCCTCCCTTTGGACAGACCTTGAGGTAGAAGCTGGGTTTTCAAAAATGGAGTCACATCAGTTTCTCACATATACAGGGTAGTTGGATTCTTACAGGATGGCTCAGTGCTTCCAGTGCTGGCAGTCAGGGTGAAATTTGCTTTAGCCTGTAAGACAATATCTGGAGTCATGTAGTGTCACTTTCTCTACATTCTATTGGTAAATATGAGATTCATTCAGCTTGGCCCAGATTCATAGGGGGAAGGGGCATAGCCTCTATTCTCTCTCTCTGAGAGAGAGAGAGAGAGATTTTTTTAAAATATTTATTTATTTATTTTTTTAGTTTTCGGCTGACACAACATCTTTGTTTGTATGTGGTGCTGAGGATTGAACCCAGCCGCATGCATGCCAGGCGAGCGCACTACCGGTTGAGCCACAGCCCCAGCCCCGCCTCTATTCTCTTGATGGGAGAAGTGTTAAAAAAATTCATAGATATGTTTTTAAAATGCTGCTGTGCTTATATTAATGCAAAAAATAGCTTGATCTAGTAAATCTAATAATTACCCAAATTTCAAAGTAGCAATGACTATAAATATTTTGAGGAGTACCAAAATATTTGTAACAACTCTAATATATTATAAAGAATTTGTGATTTCTATTGGTGGCAAAGTTGTTGGCACTATGGACCAAGTTACCAGTACTGCAGCAGTACTAATGGGCACTGCTGATAGAAGTAATTTGTTTACATTTGCAAGTAAATAAAATGCGAGATTTTAGCTAAAAGGAAAAATAGGCAACTACAGGCATATTATAAGAACAGAATTTGGAGACTATATGAAGTTAGAGACCATAAATATGCAAATACATATGCAAATTTCAATTTCTCTTCTAGCATGTGGGTGTTTTTTGGGTGCTACCAGTGAAGGCAGACAACTGGATTAATTCAAGGTAGAGGAACTATCAGTCAAATGCATAAGAAGGACAAGGGAACAAAGAGTTTTAGGTTTTACCATGGAAGTCACTCCATGACAAGAATTCTTCAAGAGAAGATAATGTCTGTTTAGTTTACTATAGCATTGCCAGAACCTAGCACTATTAGTTAAGTGAATGGAATGGTTGAAGTGATAAATCTTTGCAAACAAACAAGACAGAATTATGATGACTATGAGAATGAAAAGATCTGGAACTCTCAAAACAGAAGGTAAAGAGGTGAAAAAATTGATTAAATTGGAGGAGTAAATAGTTGTGGTTAGAGAATAGAACTGGAGTTTAGGATATCAGCTATGACAAGTTTTAGTTTCTCATGAAAGATGCTTATAGATGTGGAAATGAACCAAGAAATAGGAGACTTGAAATATTAACATGCAGAGGGGCCCAACTTTGGGTTGTGATGGTGTGATACTTTGAAGGGTGATGTGAGAAATGAAGGAGGATGAATTCTTAGTAATTATTTTCTTTTTGTAAACTTTCATATTAAATTTTAATACACCACAGAGAAGTATTTAAGTCTACTTAATGAATTTTCATATATGTATTTCCTAGGTCAAAAATTACTAATATTCTATCTGGGTGCAGTGGTACACACCTGTAATCCCAGAAGCTCTGGAGGCTGAGACAGGAGGATCCTGAGTTCAAAGCCAGCCTCAGCAAAAACGAGGTGCTAAGCAACTCAGTGAGACCTTGTCTCTAAATAAAATACAATATAGGGCTGGGAATGTGGCCAAGTGGTCAAATGCCCCTAAATTCAATCCCTAAAACCCCCCTTCCCCCCAGAAAAGAATTACTAATATTCTAGAATCCTCAATTGCACTGCACCTCAGTTTTTAACACATGTTGTCAAAGGTAAACTACTATTCTCACTTCTTTCACCATAGATTAGTTTTGGGGGTTTTTTGAACTTTGAATTTGGAATTGTGCCATGTGTAGTCTACTGTGTCTACTTGTGCTCAATACAATGTGACATTCATCCATGTTGTATATAGTAATAGTCCTTTGGTGTTGCCAATTGTATTTCTTTTACATGAAGATGCTAAAATTTTATTCTGTTCATTTTACTGTTGATAGACATTGGGTTCTTTCAATTTGGAGCTTTTGCAAACAATGTTTCTATGAACATTCTGTTTTTTGGTGCACATAAATTCATACTTCTGATCGGGTATATAGTGGCTGTAGAACTCTTGAATCATAGGAAATATGTATGTTCTGTTTGATTAGATACTGACAAAGAGTTTTCCAAAGTTATATTTTTTCCAAGAGTTTTCCAAATTCATACACTTTCCAGCACTAGTTTACATTCCTAAGCATGTTCACAAACCCTTGGGATCATCAGTTGCTATTGTTGATTTTCATTTTAGTTATTCTAGAGAGTACAGAATTAATTGTTTTCTAAAGCCAAGTTGCTTCATTTTCCAATTTGGTGACACAAACAAGACTCTAAGTGAGCTCTAGAATCAGACTGCCTGATTCAAATCTGTTTTGCTACTAGTTAGTGGTATAACCTAGGGAAATTACTGTAATTCTATAGGCTTCAAATTCTCCTTTGTAAAATAAAGGTAATCACGTCTACCCTGTAGGATTTTTGTGTGGAATAGATTAGTGTGTGCTTTTGTATATGGGTGTAAAAGTAACATACATGAAGATAGGTATAAAGGGTTTAGCATAGTGCTTGGCACATAGTAAGCAGTTGATAACTTGTAGCTATAATTATTCTTGCTACCGTTTATGGACCTCCAATTATATCTAGAAACACTGGGTGATCAGCTCACACATGTCTCTCATTCATGACATGCTGTTTCAATCTTAAAAGATCATATTGAGCTAAAAAGTAGAGTTGTTCTTTGAACCTGTTAACTCTTGACTTCCCTCTCACCCATCTTGTCCCCTCTTTCCTGACAACAATATTTAATAGTCAGTTGATTTAAAGAAATATGACATAGGGAACTTAACTGATGATTGGCTAGTAGGACAGATTGAAACTGCATTTTAAGCTTCTAATTTTTCTCATTTAAAGTGAAGATTTCAGACTGTTGTGGGGGTGGCGTGGGGAAGGAAATACAGATCTGCTCACATCTGCTACTCAAAATACTAGCCATATAACCAGGAGAGAATTTGGCTCAAATTAAAATCCCAGGGCCCTTCATTGCCATAATAATCATTATTGTATCAATTAAGATTCATCTGGGTGTCCACAGTATGTTTGGCATTCTATCAAGGAAGGAAGTGGATGTCTACAGGAAAGGTTTCAACCATTTTGCTTATGTCTTAGAATGACCCAAATGGTATAAAGAAAAAGCATAAATAAAACATTAAAATTTGTAATTCAACAGCACTTAGAATTATAAAATATTAGAACTAGAAATGGAGCCAACAGTTCTGTTCCACAGCATCTTCATTTAGAGGTTGATGAAACTCGATTCCAGAAATGGCAAAATTATACAACCAATATGTGTAAGTGACAACCATATATATAAGGGTTATACAAACAGTAAGAAAAAGGAGGAGTCCAGGCTCACACTCAGGGCTTCTAACTCAAGAGATAGCGTTCTGCTGTTCTGTCAGACTTCATCTCAACTTGTGGGGATTATATTCTTAGAAAAATCAGAAAATATAATATAGTACATGTGTAATATATAGTGTTATATCTTCTTTTGAACTGCTGCCTTGGAAAATCAGTTAAGCCATTAGTTTCTATGTGATCTATCTTTTCTATTTTCTATATCAGTCATAATTAGTGATAGGGAGAGAAAGTACTGATGGCTTTAGTGGGGAAACTTTGGCTTTGGTGGGTCTTATTCAGATGAATACTATGAATAATTCCAAATGTTTCCGGAATTTCATGAAAAAATTTCCTTTGATTCTTTGGGCAAAACGTTGAAGAGCTATGCTGCCTAGGTGCCAGCAGAGGGAGAACAGAACATTGTTTTCCTCATTTTCACTGACTTTTTCCTCATTCTGTTGTGTATTTTGATTATTCTCCCCACTTATTTAATGCATTTCTTGGCAATTGTGAGAAAACCACTACCCTTTCCTGTACTTTTAGGGAAGTCAGGGAATGTTTTCATTATTGAATTAGAGTTTTAGTAAACCCACTGTCCATCAACTGAACTGGGTTGAAAATTTTGTAAGCATAGTGGAAACTTATTTATGTGCTTTCACATCTTTTCTCTGTAATGTTGTATTAATTGATTGTAAATGTTATGTACATTCAAACCAATTATATAGATTATCTTACCTTTAATAATTACTTCTAAGAGAAAGTAGCAATGTAACAAGAAGGCTTGGAATTGTTTCAGTCGCTTGATTTTCCTTGTAAGAGGATAAATCATTATCCAATCATTATCCCTCCCTAGGATTTTGCAACATGGGACTCAGAGAAGTTTGAAAACTATCAACTGCTTTGTTTTTGCCATTTGATAGAGGAAAATCAATAACAACAACCATGTGAGTTATACTGAAACAGGAGAGAAGCAGAGATGACTGTGAAGGGAATGCATCCTCCCTGCATCTCCCAGAAAATACATTCTGCTTTTACCTGTAGTGGGTGTGCAGCCATTTTGTTGTTCTATTTTTGTGAGACTTCCCAGTATCCTTATAATAAAATTTTCTTTTCTTTCAAACTAGTCTGAGATAGTTTTCTTTCCTTTGCAGCCACAAGAATTGCAGTTGGTGTGAGGAGTTGCCAAGGCAGAGGGTGAAGGACATTTCATGGGCTGCATGAGCAAAACATAGAGACATAAAGAAGCATGACATGTTTAGAGAAATACAAATAGTGCAGTTTTGTTGAAACATAAAATGAGAGAGAAAAGAGTACTAAGAGAGACGTGGGAAATCTGTCACTTTAAGGTGTTTACCCTGAAGGCAACTAAGAGCTGTAGAGTGGTTTAGATAGCAAGTGACAAAGGCACATAGGTAGTTTAGATAAATCAGTGTGGCAAGAATTTCTCCAGCAATTCGCTGTTATCTCTGAATTTATCATTTGTTTCCTTACCCAGGACCCTGGAGAAAAGAGATGGGACATGGAAAATATATTCTCTCACTAACCAGAGCAAAGCCTTAGGGTCATTACCTTTTACTACTTCCATTTAAATAGCTATTCAGCAGTCTTCCTTTTCCTCTATCCTGAAAGTACCATTGGAGCAGAAGTCACGTATACTTCATCATTGCATTTCCAACATCTATCTTAGTACCTGGAACATGTAGTTATTATGCTAAGAGAGTGAATAAGTAAATAGTGATGAAATAAAGACATAAATTCCATATGTATTTTGTAAGTAAGTAGAATTTGGTGAGTTTTATAAAAGACCTGCGTTTATTGAGCACTTATGTGTTAAACAGGACTGAGTGCTTTGCATGTATCACTTTATTTCATCTTCACAACAATGTTTGTGTGATCATAAATTACAGATGGGGAAAAAGAAGCTTAAAAAGACTACTAGGTTGAACCATATGAAATAATCATCTAATAATTTGTACAATATAGTTAATGAGTTGAGATGCTATAGATTGAATGTAGCATCTCCCAAAATTCATATGTTGACTCTTAGTCCCCATTGTGGTAATATTATGAAGTGAGAGGCCTTTGGAAGGAGGTTAGGTCATGAAGGGGGAACCTTCATGAATGGGTTAATGCTCTTCTAAGAAACTGAAGAGGAAGGAGTTGTTCCAACATGTGAGGACACAGTGAGAAGATGCTGTCTGTGAACCAGGAAGTATGCGCTCACTAAACAGAATCTGCCAGCACCTTGATCTTGGCTCTTCTGTCTTCAGATCTGTAAGAAAATAATATGAATTGTTCATAAACCACCAGTTTATGTTATTTTGTTATAGCTGAGTGAACAAACTCAGAGTGATACTTAAATAGTTAAATAACCAGATATGAAAAACTAAGCCATGACTTTTATCATGATTGTCTAATGTCCTGGTTATATTAGCAAGAGAGTATTTCAGAAAGGTAGCCATAAGGTCCAGGATGAGCAGGTATTTTAATCAGCTTTAGTCACGGTGACTAAAAAGAACTGACAACAACAATATAAAGGAAGAAAAGTTTATTTTGGCTCATGGTTTCAGAGCTTCAGTCCACAGTCAGCAGACTCCATTGCCCTGGGCCTGAGTTGAGGCAGAACATCATGCAGAAGGGCGTGGCAGAGGAAGGCAGTTCAGGACATGGAAACCAGGAATTAGAGAGAGACAGAGAGAGTTCTCTCACCAGGGACAAAATTTAAATCCCCAAAGCATACCCCCAGTGACCTATCTCCTCTATGCACACCCAACCTACCTACAATTATTAATTTCATTAATCCACATCAGTGGATTAATCCACTAATTATGTTATATCTTTCATAATATAACCATTTCACCTCTGAACATCCTTGCCTTGTCTCACATGAGCTTTTGGGGACACCTCATATCTAAACCATCATAGCAGGGAAGGAAACACAGGAGAAGAGAGTGATGGGGAGAAAGTGAAACAAGTGTATAGGGGTTATTAAGAACTTGCCCATAGAAAAAGTTGTACACATGAGTAAACTAGCAGGAGAGGGATTTGTGTCTTATTATTTTTTAAAAGGTGCTGTATTAAGGAACAATTTCCTATGATTTACCCATTAGGTGTTATTTTGTTTTGTTTTAAATTTCTGGTACTGGAGATTGAACTCAGAGTCCCATACATGCAAAGTATGTAGTCTACTGCTAAGCTAAATACCCAGCCTCTCTTTAGGCTATTATCTTGTAACATCATCCCTATGTGTATTAATATGATCTGTCATTTCAGTCAACAAATATTAAGTGCCAGCACAGAGCTAAGTGTTTGAGTCCAATAGTGAATAAACAAAATACAGCTCTGTCCTCCTAAAATTTATCGTTTAGGAGGAAAGGGAGGCAATTAAATGAAGTTAAGTATTTTGTTTCTAATTATACTCCTATAAGATAGAATATTGCTTATTAAGTGCTTAATAAATTTTTGTTGATCTAATAGACACATTATGTAGTGTGTGTGTGTGTGTGTGTGTGTGTATGAATGTCAAAACAATTCTTAAATCTGTTGATTCTTAGTTTCTTTTTTTATGGATTAACTGCAGTTTTCTAAATAAAAAAAAATATTTGGTAATGTGGTATTGTTTAGTCTTGCCTCTGTCCTCTTCTGCATGATTGATGAGAGTCTAAAGAGACAAGAAAATATCATTCCCCTAGAATTTCCATGGAGTAGGAAAATAGATCTGCTTTGGGCTAGGTGAGGCCATCTTTCAATGAAGAGAACCAGCCTTCCTGTGCATGCTCAGGAAGAAGACATCTGAGCACATGGGCTTTTGGAAAAATCAGAGAATGAAGGAGTCTTGTTGAGAAGAATGAAGATGATGGTTGGTGCAAATAAGATGCATATGGCAATACACACTACAATGAGATTCTCTTACCTCCGTGGCTTCACAGAACTTTAGAAAGCCTATTAAAAATAATACATATTATTGGAAATTTTGTGTATGATAATGAGGCCTTTAGATCCAAGGCAGCATGGGCAAACAGATCTGAACAAATAGGAGTGGAGGCAGAAAAAGGAGGAAGCATGGTATAGAGATCATAGGGTAGTTCTGGGAGCTTGGTGGGCGGAGTCAAAGCTTCTCATACCCTACAGCCACATAGAAAATATGGATAAATAACTAACAAAAATTATTATTATAAGGGAGATGTCACTAGTAGCAAGAAAGAGAAAAATAAAGCCAGAACAATAAAATGAGTTACTGCATGGCAGTAAGAGAATCTCATTGTAGTATGGCTGTATCTTGTCTAATTAAAGCCAGACCAACAAAATGAACAATACTGCCATGGCCTAGGGGGAGCTTTAGATCAGATATAACCACTAAGAATTAGGGTCTGTATTTTTAAAGCCCACCGGGGAGAAGAAGACAAGGCTTTGACTTGTGTGAGGAAGTCAGAGCTGACATTCTTGCATCAAGGCAGGATCTTAAGACTTGCTGTCTCTCAGTGACAGGGGAACTAGAAAACTAAAAAAATAAAAAATAAAATAAAAAAAATAAATAAAAGAAAGAAAATCTTCTCTGAAAAACCAAAGCTCCAAATCTTTTCCATATTCCAGTGTGAGGTCCCATTTGATGATCTCCCTAGAATTTGAACATGGACACTAGGGTGTTCATCACAAGCAAACCCTTCTGTGACTGCCCTTGCAGCAGTCCATCCAATAGGGGACTCTCAAGTAGAGCTTGTGAGCAAAATTTGTAAATCATAAAAGAAAATAATTGACTATGACAGAGCACAATTAAACATGGCAAACAGGACTATTAGAACTTCAAGAGCTTGTGGACCTGTGACAATCTCAAAAGTACTATAGAGTTACTGTGCTTAGCACAGTTAAAGTGAAAAAGTAGAAATAAAAATTATAGAGAAATAGGATATTATGATATAAGGATACATGAATTTGAAAAGTAATTGAAAAAAACTCCTAGAAATGAAATCATTGAAATAAAAACCTCATTGAGTAGGTCAAACAGTAAGTAGGCCATATCTAAAATAAGCATTGTTGAACTGGAAAGCAAAGTTGGAAATCTAAAATTCAGCAAAAATATAAAGAAATTGGAAAAATAGAGCAAAAAGGTTGAGACATAGAGGTGGGCTGAATGGGTTGAACATATATCTAATATTTGAGTATTCTAGAGGATGAGAAAAGAGAGTGCAGAGGAGAGGCAGTATTTAAAGAATTTCCAGAGTTAAATGTGTAGTGATTATAAGCAGCATAGAGTTCTTGTTTCCTTTTTCAGTCTGACAATCCTTATTTTTCTAAATTATTTTTTGTAATTAACATCATTCTGATATATTTGAGTATAGACTGACCACTATGATATCTGTTTTTTTTTTTTTTTTTTTTTTGGTCTCATTTGTTCTGTGTTGCTTTTCTCCTCCTTTGAGGGATGAATCAAATAATGTAATAAAATATTCATATGTAATATATTTATATTTAATATGTTAAATATTTATCAACATAAGAATTATGCATTCTATTAGTGGTTAGAACTGCTATTTACTACAGTAGCCATTAGGTATATGTAGCTGTTTAAATTTCAATTTGAACTTAATTTAAATTTAAAATAAAATAATAGAAATTCATTTCCTATGTCAAGTAGTTAAATGTCAATAGCTAGATGTGCAATAACTACTGTAGATATAGAACATTGCCAGTGTTGTAAAAAGTTCTATTTGACAACACTGATTTAAGATAAATTGAGTGTCTGTTTATGTCTAGGTTTTATTTTTATCTTATTATGTTTTTTTGAGGATTGAACCCAGGGGCACTCAACCACTGAGCCACATCCCCAGCCCTATTTTGTGTTTTACTTAGAGATTTTATTTATTTCAATCTTCTGAGAGCTATATTAACATATCATTTATCAATCACTTCTCAAATGCGTTGTGTGTTAGATATATGTTGCCTCTAATTATTAACAATAATTCTGTAGCATATGCATTACTGCTCTAACTTTACTGACAAGAAAGCCAAGACTCGGAGTGGATAAGTATCTTCCCTTTGGAGAATGCAATCTGACTAACTAAAGAATTCCATCATTTCCCACCTATTGAGAATGTAGCAGAAGTTTAGGAGGGCACGGTT